GGGCAAATGCAGCTTAAGACAGAGGTAGAAATGAAATCAGTGTGGGGGACACAACCCACACTCACCTGCTGGCCTCAGAGCCACTCGCTGTTTCAAATGCTCGCTGCTGAGCGAAGCTTGGCAATTCAACCCTTTCCACTCAAATCCTTTCCTGAACATCTCAGTCCAGTGCTTTTCTGCCCTCCCTCAATAAAAACATCAATTCCAGGTGCTGAGCAGCTTCACCTCAGTGTTCTGCTTCATATCAAATACAGATGGTTGTATTTAAGGGGGTTGTCACAGAGCATTCAACATTCCTGGTCTGTGAAGGGTTCTGAATCCTTCAGGATAAGAAAACACTACACATTTTAAACACACACACCTTACACAAGTCAACTACTGACATTTTTCTCCAGTTTTCAATCTCTTGCAAGACACTGTTATTTTATGGAGAGCTGAAAAATACCTGTAAGTAAGTCAGAGACAAATAATAACACCCATTCAGTTCCGCACTAGAAACCCTACAAAGATTTTCTCTTTCCAACACACCCAGCAATATCCTGCAGGAGAGATGGCCTGCTGCTATCATTTTAGAGGTGCAATCTCTTCCTCTTTTTCCATCCTTCCTGCTGCAGAAAATTCTCCATCAGCTCCTGATAAACACTATTTCTGCTCTAGCCTGTTGTGCTGCATGGGGGAACACAGGGCTGGGTGCAGGAACTTCCCGCTATCTATTTTACGCCTCCGGGAGTTTTCCAGCAGACAGCAATAATATAAAAGATCACCATGGACTGTGATACGACCAATTACAGCAGACAGCAGTTATTTATAGAAAAGTCAGCAGCACTGAAGCTTTAACACCAGCCAGCACACCCCTCTGCTTCCCATCACTCAGAGAGCGTGCTACCATCCTGCAACACCCTGCGTGGCGAGGGGTTTTAAGGCAATTACCTTGGTACCTCACAAAACTGCAGAGACACTTGGCATATGCCCACAGGACACGGAAGGAGTGGCACTTTACACACCCCGTATCCTCGAGCTGCCACAGCAGATTTCATTCCCACGAATCCCTGACCCCAGATGTCACTTGCCTTCCGAAATCCTTGTCCGCCTACTCAGCAGCACAGCACACGAGGGCACAGCACAGCCAGTGTGTCTGAGACCCTGTAACACACACCTTCCTCAATCCTGGCTCTTTACTAAGTGTCTCTTCCCATCTTCTGAGAGGTCTGTCCAAATATTACAGTGCAAAAGAAGACAACACGTTGGCTACATACCTTTTGACCCTCCCCAATCATGACATGAACTAAAGGAGTTGTACAGCTTTCACTCCCCTGATGCAAAGGTGAAAAATTCACTGAAAAGGTGGAAAATCCACCAGAAAGGAGGAAAACTCAACAAAAACCTAAACAAATCACCACAGCCAAGCTGGAGATGTCACTTCCAGGGGTCATATACTGCCTCACTGAATCCCTGCTACAAGACAATGCTGCTGGTCCCCAACATGTAAATAAATGCTCATTCTCGGAGCTGACATGCAGCATCAGGCCTGTTTGGCCTGATCAACTCAAGCACTTGACACGAGTAACTGAAGAAATTCGGATTCAAAATGGGACTTCGAATTATCTGGCTTCTGGAATATTTAATACAGCCTGTAAGTGCAAACCTGCTCTTGGAAGCTGAGGGGAAAAGTTCACGGCCCCTTTCTGAGGTGAGCATTTCTCCCAGAGCAGCTGCAGAATGAAAGGCAATATTGCCATCTACTGCCCTGCCGTGCAGCCAGCCCCTCTCTGGCTGACACAGCCAGCTGGAGATGAGATCAATGTTTCAGGACAAGGAATCTTTTAATCATAATGAAAACGTGATCTTGACTGATCCGAGGTCACATTACATTAATACAGTCTTCAAAGCTTTTTTAATAATACAATTAACGATTTCTGCCATACCATTAAGAGAATTAAAGACCAAAAAGCTTAAGGGGTATTGACCTATTCAGTTTCAGTTTTTAAAATAACCTCAAAGCAACACAGACTTTCTTCCTTTTTTCACTCCCCTCCTTCAAACTCCCAGATACATAATTCTTAGATGTGTTGTTCTATTTGTGTTCATGGATATATCACACTTTTAGTAAAGATTTGGATAAGCCAGTAGAGGGGATCTCCATTCTGATGAGTTAACCCCTTTCATCTTGTGAACCAACAGGTCAGGCTGGGACAGCTTGCACTGCAGTAAGAAGAAAAACAACAACATTAATTAGGAAGGTCAAAACTACAGTTTGATGAAGAAAGAGACTTACTTCCACAAAGGAGCTTTAACTCCTCACCCTCCTTTCTCCAAGCCAACAGCCTCATTCTCTTCCTTAACCTACCATCTTGCTAAAGCTCTCATCCGTGCCTTTGCAAATGACTTGGAAAGCTTTAAAGAAATTCAATAAAGCCCAAAATACATCCTGGCTAATTCTTCCTCCCAATGAGTTCACTCTTCAGCACCAGAAGTCACAGATTCAGCTGGTATTTCTCAACAAGTGGTGCTATTAGTTGCTCACTAACTACAGCCTGAGCATCTCTGGGTTCAAGCTGCTCCCTCAGTGCATGGTGTGGGATATTGGCTCCCAGGAATATCCACTGTCAGGACACAGTGGGGCTCAGACTACCCTGAGGCTGGGATCAAGAAGTCAGGACTGATGAGCCCCAATATGGTTGTTGAATGAGCAAGGTCAGCATCAGAAAGCAGCAACACAGTGAGTTTCACCATGTATGAGGAAAGACTGTAGCCAAACTGGCACTGTATCATGTGCTTCTCTATCGGTTGAGTTCTCTTCTGTGCTTGCCTGTTTTCTTTCTTTTACTCAGGCATTATATCTAAAACCTGTCAGTCCACGTTTATTTTTAAGTTAGGACAAGTGAACCCCGGGACACTCGTTCTGGATCGATGGCAGACGCTGGCAGGGTTTTGTGAGGGAGAACAGAGTGCTCTGAGGCTCCGAGCTACCCCTGCACAGGAGGGGAGAGGCAGAACTGCGCCTGTGCACCAAAAATTGCAGATGAAACCAGGGGACTGTGAAAAATCTATAACAACAGTGAAGAACACAGCCCATGCCTTCACCATATGAGCTTATTGTCCTGGGCAGGGGTTCAACCATGGGATTTGGCAGAGATGATTCTTTCTGATCAGAGTTACACCAATCCATTGCCACAAATAGAGAATAATCCAGCGTCAAAGCTGCCAGGGTTGTATCTCCCTGCATTTCCAGGTCCTGAGCAGCAGGATACTGTCTGCCTCCTGGATTACTAATACCCTTGGCTAGGACAGGCAATATTGGTTGTCCTGACCCTGCTATGTTGAGAGGTGAATTACCCAAGTATGTCTTACCTCCCCTTCACATCCCATTGCTGGAAAGGGAAGGTACAGGGAATCATCTCTGTCACTGTAATGAAGCTGCATCAGAGAGACTGCCTGGTCTGAGAGTCACTGCAAGGCTGCAACCAGGCAGAAACACAGAGGCAAAAATCAAGCACTTCTATTACTTGGAACTGATGTCAGCTCTGTCTTTGGTAGAAACCTGCCTTCCCCTTCCCCTGTAGGGCCACAGCACCGCTTTGTGAGCTTAGGCCTGTAAGTCAAAAGCCAGGCAAGGACAGAGCACAGCATGGAATATCCATCTGTGGAAGCAAAGGCTCTCTGAAGCTCCCAGTCTCAGTTACCTCAATGAGTAGAAAGACAGAAGGTCCCTCCCTCCCACCCCCAGCGTGGCAGAGCAACGTGCTCTGCAATCTATTTGACAACTCACGAGGATATTACCTATCGAAGTGCTCGTGCCTTTGATGCCTTAACTGTTCAGGCAGGACATGCTAAATATCATCTTGCAGAAACTTCTGATGTCTACAGGGAGCAAGACCCCTTCTTGACCTTTTCTCTTGCTATTTTGCTGGTTTTGTTCTGTGCTTCTCAGAGCTGCTCCTCCATCCCAGATGCACAAAAGAGGTCAAGCTAGCAGAGGTGGCTTGTGCCAAAGGCTTTGGTTTCTACCAAGAGACACTTTAAAAGGAAGATATTTGTGCTTGCGACATGGAGCAAAGAGGGACAATGTGTCTTTCACTCCAATTGATTTACCCACCAACCTTCCACGCAAACAAGGATAAAAGCGGCATTTCAGTCTGTATTACAGCAGATGGGCTCTGCATGCAGCACAAGTGAAATAGCTTTAAAAAAGATTGAACCAGCCCCAAGATCTGGAGAGGGCGGGGGAATCAGAAGGCTCTTCTATATCATGCTGCTTGAAGACAGCATTTACCAAAACGCATCTTAGTTAAGATACTTATCAAAGGCTTGGAGGAGAGGGGACATGCCAAGCAAGGAGAAACTCAGAAAATTAGTCAGTGGAACTAATCCTTTTAGGAAGGGTTTTACTCTTCTCCCTCCCCGCTCCCTGCAGAAAGCTGGGACGGGATTAGTGGTTCCAGGTAGGAGGATTGAAGGTATGCTGCACATCTGTATCCTTTAAAAGCAGCATGAAATTAATGCCATTAAGCCAAGGCCACTGTGTTGGCCAGAGGGCACACAGAGCTCTGAAGTGTTTCTCCTCTCGTGGTCGCTGACCTTTAACATTCCACAGTCCAGAGAGGCTGAGCTATTAATTTACAAATCCAGTGCTGGTGAATGAATACCGACATCCCAAATGTACTCATCATGGTGAATGCAACCTCTGATCTCCTCCCTGAGAAGGAAAAAAAAAAAAGTTCAACTTCATCTAAGTGTCAGGTGGCTGGGAGAAAAGAATTCTTCCAGATGGAATTCATTGATCTTCCAAAAATGGAGCCTTCAGTTTAAATTAAAACCAAAAAGATTTCTTAAAAAACACACGGCTGAAGAAAAACCCCAACAACCTTCAAGATAGAAAAATTCAATAAATCAAGGATAAAGTCTAGGGCAAACAGAGGAGATTAAACTGAGACTTCACCATCAAGTTGGACTGCAAGAAGAAAGAAATTGCAAAGCAGGCTAATTACAAACCTCTAATTTTGTCTCCCATGTACTTATATTTTATTGCATTCTCATCTGTAACAAAAAATACATAAAGGAAGGCCTAAGTCAGTACCAAACAATGAACTACAGCTGAATGCATTCTTTGTTTATGCAGTTGAGCAATAAATTTTACAAAGCAGAAATTCTATTTGGACACATTAATTTCCTCTTTTTCTGCAACATCCTTAATATGCAAATGTTAACAAGAATCCATGTAGTTGAATTTCAGACTGTTCCCTCCCTTCTTCATCCACAGGAAAGGACACTAAAATGTGGATTTTAACATCCCCGATTCTCTTCTACTTTGACACCTACTTGTTAGGTCGTCTTCTGGATCACTCACTTGGCAGAATCGAGTAATACAAGTCAGAAGTGGTTATTTAGTGTTTAATTTCTATTCCCAAACCTCTAAAATTTGTACACAAAAACCACAGCAGAAAGAAGGCACCAGAAATTTCAATAAGGTGAGTTCTAGCAGATGCTTCAAGAGAATTCCAGGAGTGTCCAAACTGATCCCATAATACATTGATGTTGGCCCAAGTTACTGATGTGATAAACTCAGAGTTGAACAGAGCTCCTGCCACTTAGCAGGGAGATGTATCATGCCACAGGAATCATGGAGTGATACTGCAGGCCTGGAGAACTGGGAAATCACCCCAAAAACAGAGTTAGCATTGGGCTTTGCAACAGCAAGTGAAAGAACGGAGAACAACTTCCCTTGAAATGTTTGTATTGCAAACTTTGATTAGGATGGAGACCTGCCTTTAATTACAACTTTATCTTTGCACTAAAGTTTTGTTTTATCAATTTAACTAAACAGTAAATGTTTCCAAAAATGAAAAAATAAAATTTAGATTAAATCATCTGCTTACTTAATTGCCCTTCTCTCCTTTGAAATTGTCATGTGTAAAACACAGTAGTAAAGGAAGAAAATTTAACCTTTAGGGCAAATAGAGACCATCCTTTCTTTTCTAATGCTGGGAGTATTACCAGTATATTACATGGCAGTTGCTATTACATGAAAGTGCTCAGGAGTTCTCTGATGCAAAGTATGTGTTAGAGAAGGGACAGAAATGAAAAATTAGATGCTCGAGTTATCTGTTGAACACAGAGACAGAATCATCTGCTGGAAAACAATGAGATACTACGTGGAAAGTCCCACCCCTGATGAGACAAGAGAACAGAGGGGCACAGTCTGGATGCAATTTGCATTTTGTCCTACTCTGACTTCTCCTTGGCTTCACAAATATTTTAAAAAATAAGAACTCCACAGATAAATGAGCCTGAACGACAAACACAAGACAAGCTTTACCACACCCTCATCCTCCATCTGAAGAAGTCAAGCCAACGAGTGATGCATTTAAATCTTGGGCAGGGTCTCAAGCCCCCAAGAGACGATGACACAGTTATGCTGTGTAATGGTGCCATCTCGTGGTGCCGACACAGGTGACACAAGATCAGCTGCATTTTCAGTGCAGCCATCACAGACAACACTTTAAAACAGACACCTCTTAATTAAGTTTAAGTTTTACAGTGCATGGTCACCATCAGAACACCCACGAGCACAAAAGGATCCCGCGATGATTTAGAACCACAGGTCACAGCAGTCCTGGAACACTCAGCGTGACTGGAACCAGAATGGGGGGAGGGTCTAATGATATTTAGGCTTCTTAGAGGAATCTGAAAAATTGAAAATCTATCTGAAAGGACAGGGAGAATGAAGCAAGGTCAGGAAAATCTGCCTCAGAGAGGCAGATCCAAAAACCAGAGCTGTGCGCTGATGTCGTGACGGACCACAAGGTGTCCATCCCCACGCTGAAAGAATCCTGACAGCACGACAGCCACAGCCCAGCATTAAACAGAACAGCAAAATCCATCACAGGAGACTAAAACAAAATTAATTCAGACTAAAGTAACTGGATGCACTCATAAAGACAAAACTTTAGAACAACTTGCCAAGGAACATGGCAGATTTCCCGCTGCCCAACATCTGAAAACCAAAACTGCAAATCAAAACAATCCTTCTTAAAAAATGGGTTGTTTCAACCAAAACCAATGATTTTTTTGATGCAGTGACCATGCATGAAATTGTCTGGCTTCCATTACGTGAAGCATCAGGAGAGATTAACGTAATGAAATTTCTAGCCTTAAAATCCATATGTTTACTTGTCTTGAGAGCGATTCCAATGCTTTATTCACTTGGCACACACCCACTGGATCACTGCTAACACTGATCTGGATGTCCAACATCTTCACTGCAGACCAAACTTGAGTGTCTGTGCTTGTAAGAACTACAGGAACAAATTCCCTCTGAGCAGACCTGCCACCCCTCTCACACACACACACACACACTCACCTCATCTCCTCAGCAGAAACACGACTGTGTGACACCACACCCAGAGCGTAGATTCAGAAAGAGATTAAATCTAAGGCTTTGAAAACTTAACTCCAAGAACTGGAATGCTCTTTCAAGCCTTTGCCAACTTTTCCAGCGCTCTGAAACCATCCTATCCTTGAGTAAATGCAGATTTCTTTCAAATAAAAGAACTTCCACTGAGAGAAAAAAGATGTTTGTGCTGTTGGGTGAGTTTTTTCTATGCTGTTCTGTTAAGAAAGCAAAAATATTAGATCTGTTTCTGTTTCAGACCCTCTTAAGATTCCTGTGATCTGAGAAGAGCTTCAGACTGCTAAAAAGAGTTGCAAGTCCAGGCTTCTGAATTAATCAGATACCTTACAGCACTAATAGAACAAAAAAAAAAAAGGGAAACAAAATCAATATTCAGACTAATTGTTCTGTAAGTCAGCATTTCTGAACTAACATGGAGCAAGCCTGTGCCATCCTGAAACCTGTAAGAAACCTGTAGCCCAGGAGTTTAGTACAGTTAAGTAGGACCTCAGAATTCCTGGCTCTAATAAGTCACAAGTTTTGATTAGAAGGATGATGTGATCACTTTGATTAGAGAGTATCGAGCACTGCCAACACCACCTCAGCAAATGCACCTTTGGTTACTTCTCTAAGAGGCCCAGCTGCCACCATGTGAATTTTTGATGAAAAAGAGACACTTAGAAAACTAAAACCTAAACAAACTCAGGAAAGACAATTCACACACAGAGGAAAGCAGCAACTTTTCTGTGAGAAGGCCCAGTAAAGTGGTGCTAATGCAGGCTGTGGATCACTGGTTAACAGGTGAAACATAAATTCAGTTGGAGGATTTTGAAAAATTGATGTTTTTTTCCTCTAAATCAAAGTATCTCCAGATATAGAATGAATTGAATCTCATTAGTTGTCTGCCCATTCCACACACAGTACCTTATCCATCTCCTTTATTCTAATATAAATTCATATAGCATTTCCCGGGGCCTTCTTAGATAAAATTTTGTGGAAAGACTTAATTCAGGTTAAATTTCTTAAGGTTCCTCACTTGCTGTAACAACCCCAGCTTACCTTACCCTGACATTACAATATAATGTGCAAACTAGACATGAGGCCAGGCTCCTGCAATACCAGAATCAGCTTTCAGGAGTAGATATAATGATTTTTTATCATTCTTAGGCACAACTGGTATTGCAAGTCTTCACAAATATCTCTTTCTTTTTTTTTCTTAAAAAAAAAGGTTTGTATTTAACCATACATTGAGTAAGAATGCTGCACAGGAGGACATGGAGTTTGTGGCAGTCTTCATAGCACACTCTTGGTGACTTTTCAACAATCTGAAGACTAACTGACTATAAAGTTAGTCCTAAATGCACTTTCTTTGAGACAAGAGAACCATAGCAACGTGATTAAGGCTGGCACACGATCCAGTGTTTTAATTCTCTTGGCAAAAACTTGTTCCAATTATAGCTTTTTTTTTTTAAGAGATACCTAGGAAGGTCTGATTTCTATGTGTCTCAGGCATATGGTTTACAGAGCAGCTCAAGGGGGAAGGAGTTACTTGGATACAGGGATAAATGCAACGTTAAATCACGACCTTAAACCAAAACAGGGTGACAGGGCTATGAGTGAGCAATTCTGCTGTACAGGGGGGAAAATACACATCCCCACAGTGTACCTACAATGCCTGCCTACAGAACTGTCGCCCTGGAAATGCTGGATTAGTATCTGGAAAGAAATAGCTACCTTTCCTTGTTCCAAAGCATTGACTTAAGAATTACAGTTTGCTGGATCTCTTCAGGTTCGTCAGGCCCCTACTGCTGTTCAGCACTGAAGTATCTCTCTGCAAAGCCTTCTCTGCCACTGGACTAACGATCTGATCCTTACAATTTTCACCTGTAATCATTAACACAACATTCAAGCTTTAGAAAGTCCCCACTAAAAAAAAAATAAAAAAAAAATATTCTAACATATCCAGCTTGTGGTAAAAGAACAAAATTTCTTTACCAAGCCACAACATGAGCAATCCAGTGAAATATGTTATATTTCCGAGTTCATTAAATGCAAAACATTAGCAAAGAGCCTACATGGAATAAAACATGCAATGTGGAATCTACACCAAGTCCTACACCCTGAACTTACACATAGCATTGTAACAGTGCCTGAACTGAAAGGCAGTTTAATGCCTGTAGCTCTGTTCACCCTCCTTCTCTGCACCAAACTTTTCCTGCATGAATGGCCTTTGTGTGCCATCCTGTCCACCACAGGGTTGAAGGCAGATTTTTCTGCTAGAAAAGCTCAAATGAAAGCAATTCAAGATCAATTGTTCACTCTGAAAGGAAGGTTACAACTGTCATTCTGATACCAACGTGTGTTGTGGTATCTCTCTTCCATAATGCAGGATGTGGTTTCCATAGAAATGTCTTCTTACATCAGTACCTACAAGCCCTCCAATTATTCCCTTTTGGACACCTCATGAAATCCAATAAAATCTTTTCAGAGCAGGGAAATAACTAGGCTCAGCTACTACTTAATTACTTGGTGAGAAGAAAAAGGAAAGGACATTGAGTAAACAAAAGCTTTATTTAAAACAAAACATAAAACGGAGAGCACGTGTTGCAAAAAAATTACATCTTACCTGAAGAAATTTCTGCAGTGTCACAAATTAAGAACAGTCAATTACAATTTTTAAGACTATACTGAATTTGCTGATTTCTGAAACAGCAATTATGGTGTAGTTCTAAATTGTTTGGTGGCCTTGTCTCCAACCAAGTCCCCGGGGCTTGCTCTTTTCCTGAGTCCTTCGTGTTGCCGAGTATTGCCTGCACCTTTTTCCAAGTCCTCTTCTTCAGGACCTTGTGGGTTTAGAGTCCCTGCTGCTGCTGTGTCATCTTTTTTCTCTGTGGCATCTCCTGCCCCTCTCCCAGCACCAGGAAAGCATTCAACACCCTGAAATTAGAGCCGACACAGAAGGAACACCAAATAATACACGAACAAGATAAACAGCGACTTGATCCCAATATAAAATCCTTCTGTCTGCCATGAACATGCAAGGCAAGGAACTCAGCTGCACTGTTTGTATGGAACAGCTTCACTCCTGCTGCTCTGCCTGCCTTCCCAGAAGTGTCAGCATAAAGAAAACTGGGAGCACAGGGAGCCTTGATCTGGCTGGGTGGGCTCTGGAGCCATGACCACAGCCCATCACACAAGAACGTGCACCACGGGGGCCAAAGCTGCCACAGCTCCCTCAGGAGACCCATGCCTGAGGAAAACAAACTGATTTAATTGTGTGGCAACCAAAATGTGCTGAGGAAACAAGCCCTACAGCTCTTTGTTTTGCTTCCACTCATCTCTCCTTTCTCTTTATTACTTGAAAAAGCTTCGTTACTGTGATTTGTTTTCTCAAATACATGTACCCCTTCCTGGGCTGAGGCTTCATTCAAACCTCACACCTTGTTTTAGGCCTTGGTCCTGCAAAAGCTAAGCACAGTCAGATCTACAGCTCAGTAGTGGGATAAAATAATTAGAACCATAAAGAGTTTGGCCTACTCGTTCTAAAGGTGCCACAACTCAAGCCCCTGCACAGGAAGAACAACGAGGAAGTTCAGAAAGCCAGTCCATAAACAGACCTTGTAATTCTCTGAATTCCAGCTTGGTTACAGATCCCTTATTTCAGCAAGGATGAAACTAAAACATTTAGTGAAAACTCTATTGTAGTCTTTAGCCTCTCCAACTATTACAGCCATATAAGTTAGCTACAGGTATCAATTATATGCATTTATATATATATATATATATATATAATGTAGCTGTGATTACCTACATAGACTTACGTAGTTAGTAGTAGTAAAAGAAACCCATAGGTAGCTGTGACAGTCTTTCACATTTAAACCTCACTATTTAACTAAAAAGGGAAAAGGCCACCAAAGAAAAACAAAATCATAAAATAGCAAATTACTCACTGTACCTTATTCATCTGGTCCACTTCTGATTGCCTGGGTTTACTGGCTGGAGTATTCTCCATATGAGAGTCCACTGCTGCCTCTGGAGAAATGGGGTGAATATTTTGCCCCAGAAAGAGATTTAAAAGGAAAAAACATTATCAGACTTCCATGGCTATTTCCATTTAAAAAAACACACCAGAAAAAGCCACCTGAATGCTACCTTCAACCCCTCCTGCCTTGTTTCTGTTAATTAAACAAAACAGGGTGCTACACATCACTACCACAAAAGACTAAGGTGAACAACTGTACTATAAACAAAATATCTCTGGGTCTTGAAAGTTCTACTAAATGGATAATCCATTTATCTCTTACACATGGAAGACTCATATCCATCCCTCCCTCCCTTTCAGCAAATGCAGGTACTTTGACCAATTCAGATGAAGGATTATAAGCAATCACTTGAAACTGATTTTAATTCTTCTCAGTCTGCTTACTTTTGCACAAGTTTCACACTTACATGCTTTATGCATATTACTAAAGTACTTCAGAGCAGCTCAGCTCACTGCCTGATAGATTTAACAACCACAACCAAACCCTGTGAAATGATTTCTGTTGCTCCAAACAGCCCCAGAAGAGAAATGTCACCACGTTCCTGTTACTGAGACTATTTGCTGTAATTAAATCTCTGCTTTTTTCAAACAATAAGAATTAATTCAGAATTAATAATTGCAGCTATGTGTGACAACACGTTAAAAAGTTTTATTTTTATTGATACACGTTTGCAGACAGAATATGTGTGTGTACATGGACCTGTGTATCTGGGCACATGGGCACATCCAAACAGAAGTATCAGCTGCAGTAAACAGAATGCTGCAGTTGGTATGAACTGCCACTAGATGCAGCCACAGAACCTTGCAAAATTTAAAATTCTGACCTCAGGGTTACAGAAACCTGTTTTGGAATATCTTTGACCATAGAATTCTTACAAGAACGTTAATGGTATTCAATCCTGAGTACTGGTGCGGAAAAAAAAATGTAATAGGAGCAAAATATTCAATTTTTCTTCTCAGTAATTTTGTTCCAAAACACAGCATTGCAAATGTCAACAGGAATCTAAGAAATCAGAGCAGAATAAGACTTGTCTATTTTCACAGTTGTTGCCATAGATCCAGATTGGAGCTGACAATATTGAATTACATTGTGTTTTGCTTTCTGCATAACAGAACAAGTACGAATGAAGCCCTTGTTCCCAAGCGAGCCCCTAAAGATAGAATCATGGAATCATAGAATAGTTTGGATTGCAAGGGACCTTTAAAGTTCATCTAATCCAGCCCAGCAATGAGCAGGGACACCTTCAACAAGACCAGGTTGCTCCAAGCCCCATCCAACCTGGCCTTGAACACTCCCAGGGATGGGGCAGCCACAGCTTCTCTGGGCAACCTGTGTCTGTGCCTCAACGCCCTCTTTGTAAAGATTTTCTTCAATATATTTAGCCTAAATCTATCCTCTTTTAGTTTAAAATCATTATCCTTTGTCCTACTGCAACAGGACCTGGTGTCCTCTGCACACCTGCACATGATCTGGACGACTGTGCACTTGTGGAACACATAAACATGGAACTCCAGGGGTTCCATTCACATCATTTTCCCCTCTGTGTCCCTACACCACAACTCTGGAAACACAAGCTTCTCTTCATGGGCATGGGAAGCACACACTGGGTCAGATGATTAGGAATAAAGGATTGATGCAGGAATGAAGCAGGAATAAAGGATTCCTGCACTCAGAAGATGTTTCTGCTTTATCTACCACTAACAGATAGCAAAAAGCCTTAGACAACTCTCTTGCTATCTCCTCCCTGGCTATTAGACAGAATAAGGCTGCCTTTAGGACAAAGTAAAAGCAGGGAAACTCTCCCCTAGTTTCAGCAGGTGTTATCTGCTCTCTGCCCTCCCTTGGTATTTCCCTGGGTGCAAAATATGCACAGGACTGGGATAATACAAGCATGAGAAGCAGACTGCATATGTAAAACAGATATAACAAATGTAACACACGCTTTCAAATCCTAGTTTTATAGTGGATTGATTTTCCACTGAAGATGGATGAAATAAAGCCTTTTACAATTAGGGTAAAGAGTGATGCCCAGTGAGCTGTGCACCAGAGTGGAGGACATAGATTAAAAAGCAGATTTTTATTATATATTTTAATGCCAAACTCACTTGCTTCTGCTCCCTTCCACTATAAAGATCATATTGCAATTCGCAATCCTTATAAATAAATATAAGCACACACAGACACCGTGTCATTTATGTGCAGCCTCACATGTCTTTTTTACTCACAGCCACTCCAGTGGAATGATATTCACCCACATTTTGGGTCGTTTCTCTTTGTCTGTTTGTTTTTGTAGAAGATGGCAAAAAGAAGAAAGAAAAAAGAAAAGTATACTCGCCTCCAGGATCTGCTGGGTTTTGATCTGATCACAGTTCCCTTCAATTGCCATTAATAAACTTCACTTAGCAAGATGGATTAAAGGAAAGAGCAACCCCAGGTTTTGGTGATTTAAAGCATGAGGAACACAGATATATTGGTTTCAGAGGAACCCAGCCTAGGGCTAAAGTCTGACTTAACTCTCCTGTGGGTGCTGCAGACAAGATGAAACGCAGAGTCTCAGCGGAAGGTCCCCGAGCCAACACGAAGCAGGATGGATGTGGGAAGGCATGGGAGCAATTTGCTCTGGAGCCCTCCTTGCTGCACTTCCAGAAAGAGACAGTGTGTGCCCTTCTTTTGGAATCTAGTGCTTACCACAGCTTGTGTGCACGCAGCAGAGGGGCCTGTCTGGATCCTCCAGCCAGCTGAACAGATTATACCAATGAGATCCACATAAGAACTGTCAAAAAGTTTCCCTACTCTGTTGCTATCTTTTGTGAAGTAGGCAGAAAATTCTCCCAGCACGAAGGATTTACCCTGTAGGAGAGTACTTGGAATCTTCCAAAAGCCATAATGAAAATGTTTGTGTTCCCATCCAAGAATGGTATTGGCAGCAGTTGAAGGTAATTAAATATACTGCCCATTGGCCATACAAATTTCTTTTTTGCAACAATTTCAGAGAAACAAACCCCTGTCTATAACCCAGACACCGTGTTGTGCAACAGGAATTTTTGGGCTAACTTCTACCCTGCTCTGAGTGCACTGCAATGGGAGTTACAGCCACTTCATGCCAAGACTGTGCTTTGTTCAGTATCTCTCAGATGCTCTGTGGTTCCATTTCATTACCTCATAATTTCTAAGAATTATCCTGTTTAATGTGAAAGGATGAGGGAGCTGGACTGCACACTCAGTAGTTTCTCCAACAGAGACAGCACCTTTTCATGATCACCACCCAACCCTTGATTACATGTTGTATCTTTACAGAACTGTAACTACCATGGCCAAGTTCACAACTGCTTGTTTTAACTCACTTCCTGAAGGGAATAACTCCATCTGAATTTTTAACCAGATATTCACTCGTTGGCTCCAATCTCCCGGTGCTTCCACCTCCCACAGTCGCTTCTGCTCCTCGGGATAAACCTGCAGGAATTTCTGGCAAACTGAATAGGAGAAACCAAGGGGTAAAAGTATGAATGAGTGCAAAGTACAGGGGAAGAGGAAGAGTATTCTATCCCAGAAATTCTCTCAGACCGATTTTCATTAGTTCCTTTGGAAATCTTTTCTCATTTCCTCCTCTATGTTTTAGTTGGGGTTTTAGTAAAAGTCTATGTGGAATGGCCTGAACAGGCAGGAGTGAATCCTGTCCCTCTGTTTCAGTCTAGATTATCTCCTTCTGAGTGCAGAAAGACAGGACTTGAAATCATGTACATTGATGAGCACTGGTCATCAATATAATTTGGGTAAACAATCAAAGTTAGGTTTGCTTCAGTTATCAAACTGAAATATGTGGCTTCCTTAAGATGTCTGCAGCATCTGCACATGTCCTGCTGTAGGAAAAACAGTTCAAAAAGTTCAAAGGGGATTTTTAAATTTTCCTCAACCATCGTCTCATCAGTTCCATCAACTGCACTAAGACAGCAATCTGTAAACAACAAAATTATTGTCACACTCTGTCCACTGTAGTTCACCATAATACAAAATGGGTAGTTTATCTTCAGTATTCAGTTGAGTTTAACAATGGGATGGCAAAACAAGACCCTAATGTATGTAAACATTTGCCTTACAGTAATGAGCAGCTTGGGGGCGTTAATTTTATCCAAGGATATCCCAACTAAATTAATCATTCCAATAAAAGCTACTGAAAGTAATATATATACCAAAATACAGGTATCTGCTAAATGGCTTTTTACTTCCTTTTAGGCTTCTACAGCACCTTAAATACCAAGCTGGTGAAAACTGTCCAATTTCAGAGATCTTAGTGCAGAGATTTAGAGTAAAAGGTTGCATTCACTTATCCAAGTATGAGAATGTGGTTCCAATGAAACTAAAAACAGACAGTGACTTCAATATGCTCAAAAATTAACTTACGCTATTGGTATTTTTATAAAAGAAAACCTAATCAAAACATGATGCAAGTCAGATTTATTCACTATTAGCTCTAAACTTGAGACGAAAGCTCGTGTTAACAGATAAAAAATGCAGCTTTCTCATCCAGAGTGCCTAAAGCTCTGACATCTGCCATAGGAAAAATGGATATTATCAGGAGAAGAGAAGGAATGTTGTCAATACTATCCCTTCCTGAATTTAGAAGTAGAAGTACATGCTGAGGTATATTTGTATACTTTCAATGGTACATGATAACCAAGAGAAAAAACAGACAGAGCCAAAATGTTGTTGATACTTGTTAGGAAATGGCTGTAAAGTTGTAAGTCAATCAAAGCATCTCCCCAAAAATTTAGTAAAGGCCACAGAAAGCAACTTCAGTAAAGAAATATTTTCCTAAATAAAAGAGTTTTATAAATAATGTGAGCACAGATACTTTCCATGAATTGTGCTAGCAAAAGCAGAACTTTGACCTAAACACAGAGAAGATATGTAACTACTTTGTGATCTTTTAAAAGTGACAAATGTTCAAAGACAGTCAATACAACACAAGTACTGATGTGACTGGATGACTGAGCAGAGCCTGGGTATTTGGCTTATTAAATGTAATTTCTTACAAATGCAGGATCTACTAGAGCATTATGTGCACAGTGTGGGCTTGACATCTTATGATTCTTTTCCCTCTGGTGTCAAATAAAATGTGTAAGTCCCTGTCTAGGGCAATGACATAGTTCTAAGAGAGTGAGATAAGAACACAAAATGTCAAACAGGCAGTATGAATTTTATGCTTCTCATTGTCTTACATAAATATTGGCCTACCTTTCTACAGGAAATTCCAGATGTCTCTGGAAAAGTAACCAGTTGCACACTAACAACAGCTCGGTTCAGACAAGGGCACTGAACTCTTACACAGTGAAGACAATCTCACCCAGACCATATTGAAAATTATACATTATACATGACCCTTACCTAACGTGTCCACATCAAACCATTTACCTTGATACATGGCAGCAGAAATAGGGCAGCTGATCCCCAAGGCATCCTCAGCCAGGAAAGACTGACAGAAATCATGCAGCATTTTCATCCCTAGGCCACCTCTTCTGCACTTTCTCCGGACAAATATAGTATCCAAGACTGGCAGCAAGTAACACTGACTGGTTGTACCATCACACAGGCTCCCTGAAAGCAGAAAGGTAAAAAAACATGAATTTGCTAACAAAACTGGTAACTGCTGTGTGATTCTAGCCATAGATACTGCCCTGGTACCTCTCCACAGGCTGGGAGGATGATCCCAACAGAACTGCATTTGCACAGACAGTAAAACACTTTCCAAGAGGAAGATTTGTGCCCTCAAACGGAGAGGACCTGCCTAACACTGGTTGAGAGGTCTCACCAGAGTACTTTCCAGACTCTGGTTCTTCAGAATCAGACCATCCAGGTACACAGGAAAGCTCACTGTAAAGATATAACTGAGCTACAGCCAAAGAGATATCAATATCCTGAATGCAATGTCAGTATACTCCTTTAGCTTTTGGTTATTTTGGTAAATCTTCCCACAAACTCTTTTTATGAAATACACTGAACACACAACAGAGCATGAGCTAAATGCTCAGAAGGTCCACCCTGCCTAATGCAGCTGGACAGAGAAGAAGCCTTCCAGAGAAAATTCCCAATCCTTTTTAAGCTAATCATTCCTACAAGAAAGGCTCCCATGGTCTCTGTGCAGAATACCATAAAAACAGAACCTTCAACTACTTTGTAGCATAAACACTCAACCCTGAACTGAATGACCAACATCAGTTCACCAACTACCTACATATAGGATAAAGTCAGCACAGAAACATCTCACTCATTTATTTTCATTTTTAGAAAATATTTATGAAAATTTTATGATGCTTCTATCTGGGTACACGTCAGTTCAAATACAAATGGATGGCCCAGCCTTTACAACAGAAAAAGATTACATTTTCATACCTTGTTGCTTAAATCTCATCTAGACCTTCTTGGTTTTCTTTCCTACTACTTACTAGTGGACCACTCGGTCTAGTTTTCAGTGTCTTGAGACATGAAACTTTCATCACTTCACTAAGGCCTATTTCACAGTTTCACTATCTTCTATTAAATGGCTGTTCCTAAATCCCACTATTAGACTTTTATTTAATAGATCCATTTTTATTTTATCTCATTGCCTAACTATCTTAAACTGAGATCTACTTCTGCTCCTTGAGTTGGTGTCCAGTACCTTTTGCTGATACTCACCAGGCCTGAATTTGATTACTCTATTTTCTAGGATGCCAATTCAGCACAGAATACATGATTATATTTAATTCTAGACACTGATTTGTCAAGGTTGTAGCTGTTCATTTAGCAACAATCCACATCTGAGCCATACAACAAGAGTACGTAGCTACATAACCACCCATTCACATCCAGGCTTTGTTCACTCCTGTTTAATCAAAGTGCATGCTTAACTTCAAACACATGTTTCAGCACATTGTTGGAAAAGGCTGGGTTGTGGTGGTGTTTATAACCTTCCAATATTTGTAACACATGATGGGTAGTTACTCTTTTTCTTCGTGAGCCAAAAAATTGAGTATATCCCCGGTCCCATTGTTAGCTGCCAACCCAACAGAGAGGTTGGATCCCAGCAGAGTTGCACCATACGTTCTAAGAAAGGCACAAACTTTTCCTCATGAACTCTTTAAGGATTGCTACACGTTGCAAGTGTCCTTATAAGTTTATTATTATCTCATATAATCTGTCTCCTATAAATCCTGCCGAGACTGCTGTGCAGCAATCCCAGGAGCCGCGTGATTTATGTCTGTGCTCCTAATTTTGTGTTGAGAAGATGACAAAAACTTGTCATGTCTAAAGGCACTGTAAATAAAAGAAACCATGAAGCCATTCCTCACCTTGTCCCTGGGAAACATATTAGGAGAGTCATAGCCCACAGGCATTTGAAATAAAATAAACAAACAAACCAACCTTTGGAACAAAGGCCACTTTGTCCCCAGTTCCCATCCAATGGACAGAGCTTACTGTAAGCTGATGGTGGCCCGGAGGTGACCACTGGGCTCTCACACATCTGGTTGAGAGGTTTGTTTCTTTGTTGGAACACACAAACAAACACAGTTTTGAGGTGAGGCAGGAGACAGGGGAAACAAGGGTACTGCTGATGGAGATGGAAGCATTCATGCAGTCTGCCCTCTGGAAGCCTTTGATCTCTTTGGTCAGGTCACGAGTGCCAAATGACCAACTCCGGAGCCAGCGAAATGGCAAACAGATATTACCCGGGCAGGGAAGCAGACGGCCATCAGCATTCCCAAAGAGCCACAAACCAGAAAAAAACCAGCAATCTGGTCCCCACATCCAACAGACCCAAACAAAACAAGGTTGTGCACACTGACTGTTTCCCTGCTGAACAAGTTGGCTTGGCACACACATGTTTGGACAGGCCCCGAGCAGGCCGGGTGCTTGTGCAAAGGGTGGGGAGTATTCCTGCAGAGTAGAACCCAAGGTCAGCCCATTGTGTGAGTTTGTATGTGAGAAGGGGAACAAAGGTTCTGGCTTCAATAAAATTAAATGAATTCATGTCTTGACTGGTATGTAGTCATTTCATTTTTATTACAGCCAGAACCTCCAATCTGCCTCAGAAATGCACATTAAAAATATTATTGCTTGCAAACAGAGGGAGACAAAAGCAATTATCCAACAAGATTCCAGCTAATTCTCTGTCAGGTTAACTTCAATTCTGATTTATTTTTTTTCTAAAAGAAATGTATGTAATCAGTGAAAAATAAAATCCTGTTATCTTTTTAGATCTACTTCTAGAGAAAGCACCTGAGCCACCAAAGTATCAAAAGAAATCTGCAAAGGCTCGTATGAAGAAAGGCGTGAAATGGATTTTTGCCTGGGGAGCCACTTCCAAAGACCATCTCTAAGGCTCTGGGGCAGGGAAAAGCAGAGATTGAGGCAGGGTTGCTTTGCTGCCGACTCTATGTCAGCTTAAAAGTTTTTGCAGTCAGGTTTTCCCAAATTGTGCCTTGTGGAGCATCTCTAAAGAATGAATGAGAAGCCAAGAATGCATTTCCTCCTGATTCAAGTGCATGTTTTGCAGTCTTCTCAGAGGACTCAATTTGGTTAAGGCTGGTTTGATTCACATCACAGGGAACACCATCCTTCTCCACACTTTTACTGCTAAGGTTTGTCAGGAGGGAAGGGACAAGCTTTGACAACCTGACTCCTTTGCTTGATCCACAGCTGGGCAGCTCCTGTGTGTTAAAGAAACAGTAATATATTTAACAGTAGGGGAAAAGGATGTACATAAAAAAGGAATTTTGTTCTGTTTTGCTCTTAAAGGGACTAAGACATTCCTGGCTCACTGCACCCTCCAACTTCCTCAGTGATTTATTTGTATCATGAATATTCTACATTCTCCTGGTATTTATGTGAAAGTGGTATAAAAGTCCACTTTCAGTAATTACTAGTCCTCAGTAAATAAAAAAAGAAAAACTTCCAGGGAATTACATGGTCTCACTGCACAAAAGCAGTGTCAGTAACCGTGGCAATTAATCCTACATCACTACAAAAAACACATTCTTTTGGGGTTTTCACACAGATTTAGAGTATGAAGTAAATACTGTAAACACGAGATCTGAAAACACGAGAATCTATAGCAAGGCTTTCTGCAAAATATTTCAATTTTCATGTTGCTGTCTGCAGAGAAAGGTACAGGAGCAGGGAACTGTCATTTCCTGTTGTACCTTTAAGTAGCTACATTTAGTGAGGTCTAACTCCTCAGCTGCCTGATATGGAGGCTGCTGACATAGATAAAACTGGAGACATTTATCTTGGCACGTGACAAAGTGTCTTATCAGCCTCATTAGTGGCTTAGTACATCTCATCAATCTTTATATACCCAGTGGTAAATGCTGCATGCCTGTCACTGGACAGGAATAGGTACATACCAGAGAGGGTAAGTTGATGATCTGTGTAGTCATGAATAAATTTTGCTTTAATAAAGGTGTCTAATGCTCAGGAAAAGTGATAGCCTTGAAGAATGAGTCTTCTGTTATTCTACACAACAGGTGCAGGATGGCCAGTGCCAGTAGGTGCCAAACTGTCTCAAAACCTTGACTTGCACTTACTGCATCTCTGAGCAAGACGGGTGCTCAAGACCATCTGTCCCTCCTTAGCTGGACTATTAAAAAAGAGATCCAGTTAAGGGTGTTCATAAGATGGATGAGAGCAGGGCACTGGAGCAAAATTACCAAGTTCACTTTGTACAGGCCACCTAGGAACTGGCAAATGGAAATGACTTTACAATAGTGCCAAGACAGTTAATTGGAATCACTGAAGTCCATTGAAAATTTAGTTTGCATAACGGCACATTAAATCTGTCGTAAAGATAGAACAGACTCTCCTCCTTGGTCACCATTTCTGTGATTCACCCAGAAGACTTATGTTTCAAACAGCCAGGCTCCACAAAGCAGTTCTGCCTTATTTGGCTCCACTGAAGCATATTTTTGTCACGCTGTAGATAATGGAAAATTCACAGATGAGAAATACAGTTGAAAATGACATCAATATGAGAGTCTCAAATACTAAGAATGTAAACCCACAAAGAATGGCCAGGTAATTGCAAAACATAAGAATAAAGGGAATCAGAATCACGTGGTGGGCACAGAGGTAAATAATTTCTTCCTAGGATCAGAAGCTGTAAGAGAGACCCAGCACAATATAAAGTCCTGTAGTTAAACCCACCTCTGCTAAATGTTCTGACCAGGACAGTAAAAACAAAAAGAAATTACACTGTGATTTAAAAAAAAAAAAAACAAAAAAAAAAACCAAGCAAAAAAAAAACAACAAACATCTAAACCAATCATGTGAAATACAACTTCTAAGTGAAGACATTTATCTTAGTCTCTTTTGGGCCTAATAAATCCAGGGTTCTTCTAAAAAGTAGAGAGAATGGGATCAGCCAGAGCATGGCTGGTATGAAACTGAAATCACAGAACTTCAGAAAGAGGAATTATTTTCTAAATGCGTACATCAAATTGCAAAAAGCAGCAAAAACAATCAGTTTCAAGCTTCCCGAAAAGGCTCTGGCAAAAGACTGCAGTAATTTGTGACACAAGCCAAAACCTAACAAATATAGCTGCCCAGAGAAAAAAAACACTGGCAAGAAAAGGCAGATGCTGACAAAGCTGGACTTGAAGGATTTGTATTTTATGTGGACCTGATTTAAAACCAAACTGTGACTCTCAACTTACTCAGAAACAGTTTCAACTTGGCTAATACTCCACCCATAACAGACTACTGTGCACATTTATTTTACTGAAGTATGAATCATTACAGCCCATACAAGTGTTTCTTTCCAAAAGCTTTGCTCAGGAATATTTATTGACTTAAAGGAAAATGTACTATGGCAATGAAGTGTTTGCCATTACAAACCAGTTCATCAGCATGACCACAGATACAGCCAAGGCTCCTTTATCATGGGCTGAGTTGTGATTCATCACTGATGGTACAGCAGCACTGTACAGCCATGGTGCTGTACAAGCCACACCTCTCTGTCAATAAGGATTTCTCCATCCCAAGGCAGCTGAAGAGCAGAACATCTTATTGCTGCTGGCCTTTGGGATCTAGAAGAGAAGATACCTTTACACTGGTAACCATCTCTCTGGATTCCTCTGGAATCCAAAGCAAACCATCTCTGTGCAGCTCTGAAACTGTTTCTTATTCTCCCATTTTGGATGGATGGCTACTGAGCACTGACTTGGACAACACATTTTACTTCCAAAGATTCCACCTTCTCTGGATTTAAGCTGCTGGTATCAAGATGAATCAAACACACACTGGTAACCAGCTCCTACATGGGGGCACACACTCAACTGCATATCTGGAGTTATTCTAATGAAGCCTCTTCCTCTCCAGCCTCGTTAACAGCAATGTACTGCACCAATACAAACCCTCTGTTTAATAAAAGACCTTCACTAAAGCTCATCAAGTATCATTAAAGAACTAAAATTTTGTTTCTTTTCTATGCTAGTTCATCAATCACGAAATTAATTAATCACCATCCTTTAAACTGGGAGTACAACTGGACAAAGCATTTCAGGACTGATCTAGTGCACACACGTTCCTCTACACAATCCAGCCGCTGCTCCTTACACATCCAAGGAGCCTTCCACTTCTTTCCACCACCCACTCTCAATACACTGTTTTTCCACAGATAGTTCTTTCCAGGATGCAGCCCTCCATTCTGTGGATAGGCCCTACATTCTTTGTTCCTAGATGTATGACCTTCTACTTGGCTGCATTAAAGCCCATTTTACTGGGATAAGCCACTGCCTCGGATTGCTCAGCATAACTGAGGAGAGGCTTTGGAACCATCGTGTTTAAATGAAAGTCACATGGACGGCTTCCAAATTCTGGGAGGGTTTGTTCCCCAGATTAATTCTGAGAGAGATTTCATATAAAAATGTAAATGAGAGCCAGGATTATTTATACTGAAAGATAAACAAAAGGATTACATTTGGAGCTATTAGGAACCAATGGAAATGTGTCTCTGAAATGACCTTACCTTTCATCTTCACCGAGTAAAAGGCAACAGCCTCGCCGTTCCTCCAGAGCATCTTGGCACACTCGGTGGCAGAGTGAGGTAGAAAGAATGCATCATTAGCTGAACTCCCTTCCAGCATTCCAAAAATAATGTAGTTCAGAACAAAGAGGACAATCCTTTCTGCAAATGTCTGGACCTTAGAGAACAAACAAAAACAGACCAAAGAAAAATGAGGCAGAGAACAGTATTTTGCATCTCATAAAAAAGGTTTCAAAATCAAAAGAGGCTGGGAAGGAGGAGGTCAGGAAACATGTACACTTAATTTGGGGAAAATACCTCATCAATTGGTTCAGCTGGAATAACAAAAACAGTTTTTCCCAGTGTTTCACCCTCTATCCAAAGGGCATAGAATAATTTAGTAACTATTTATTTATAAGGCTTGACATATCTCCTGTTGTCACAGAGAGGAATTCTAAAGCAGCAGGAGTAACTTGACTGTAGTCACAGCAAACCAGTCACAGATTTGGAACTGGGATCAAGGTAATCTAATCCTACCCAAAAGTGGAATAAAGATAGGATTCACTGTGTTGGCCTGGTCACCTCTCCCCATTACCTGTCTTGCCACAGCATCAAAGAGCCTTAGTGGGCCAGGACCTTACTGAGGTAGACACTAAACAAAACAGAAGATGAATAGTCTGTCCCAAATATCATATAATCCAGCTGTAACACGAACAATTAGTCTGTGCTGTGTTTCTGCCAAGACAACCAACAGGACAGGGAGATGCAGAATATAAAGGAACAAGATCACATTGGCCATCAAGGTAAAAACTGGTGCCAAGAAGCTTCACATGAATGCTGAAAAAGAAAATGAGAGTTCTCCCAAATAATGACAATTTACCTCTTAGCAATGAGTTAGAAGGGGCAAGGTTTCTATTTTCAGATACTATTTTCAGTCTCTGTTGATACAGCAGATGCTTAAAGCTTCAAGGCCTGTGTTTGTGCTCCGAGTTCTATCTTGCAAGGATTTGGATCCCAAAATCCCTCCAGTTCAGTTACCCATAAAAAGCCAATTTAATTCTGTGAGTAATTAAACTCTATGTGTGACAGATATTAGGGAAAGATGATCAACAAATGGAATCATTCAGGACCAAAGATACAGAGGGTTGGGTATGAAACAAAACTGACTTAATAACCTCATGGCAACATAAAGCTCACATGCAGTAGGCATCTGACTTTTCAGCTGAAAACAGGCTACCCAAATCCTTCGAATTATGAAAAAGTAGCTCTATCCTCTCATAATAATTTATTTGGAAAAAGAATTATTGATACAGAAACTATTAAATAACAACCATTTCATTAAATGTATCAACATTATCCAAGGAAAAAAAAATCCTAACTAGCTAGATAAGACATTGCTCCAAAGGGTAGTAACACCTCCCACCAGACAGTCAGTCAAGCAACAATAACATGTGAAATTATTGCTAATGCAGTAATTCAGTTTATCTAATTATTCCTTTAGTAGGCAGTGAGAGTAAACTAAAAAAACCAGAAGAAAATAAATCCCACAGGTGACTCATAAACTGCATGCAGAAAATTGTTTGGAGAGGGTTAAAGGTGCATATCACTGTAATGGAGACATGAAGTACCTGGTGAGCCACAGAGCCCAGATCCCACAGGCCCTACAGCAGGAGCTGTAGGAGGCCAGAGACAATTACATAAGATTGTTCTGGCTGGGAAGTTCCAGGGCAAAGGCAACTGTTTAAAACAGCATCCTCACCAAAAGGAGCCCATCTCTAGCAGGATCAGCCGTCTTCACCACCTCTTCAACAGGCCACCAACGCCGGCCCAAATAAACTGCCAAGACTACAACAAGAAAAAAACAGGGGAACACGTTACCTGCAAATACAAAGTAGGTTCTGAACCTTTCCACCAGCAGCCTCAGATCTACTCCTCCTTCCAGCTGACTCCAGTTTGATCTGCTGTGAGACAGCAGAACAATCGTATTTCAGTTTCTCCTCCACATCCCTTGCTCCCAATTTTCAGTACCGCACGAGGCATGAAGGGAAGGTAATTTTTCTCAGGAATTGATGTGACTTCAGTGTGACAACGTGCGTGCCACATGAACAAAGCACTTCCTGCATAATAATAAGTTCAGTAGCAGAGTAGGTTTGAGTGGCATTTAGGACAGAGGAGCTACCTGGCTAAAGGTTACTGTTTTGAAGGTTCTTTCAGACCTTCCCCTGCCCACACACATATATTTGCATATATTTGAGTGCCCACATTTGCACTCATGCAAGTCAAACACAAAAGTTCTCATATCTGTTTTATCAAACAGCTCTCTCTGTGACTGAATTTCTCTCTCTCTGTACCTCTGGAGTACAGACTCCTAAATCACAGACAGATATTCACAGAGTTTCAAAATGCATACAGAGAGGTTTCTATCAACAAAGGACAGACAAATACACACATAAATAAGATACACTTTGCCCTGAAGCAAAAGCGTATGATCAACCTACGTAAGTCAAGTCCTCACGTAGGTGCCATGCAAAACTTGCACCCCACTTCTTCTCATCCTTCCTCAATTTTTCACATATGCAGGAACAAGTACTTAAACCCTACTCCTACATGTTCATCTACAGAATTTGTTGCCTGCCAATAGATTTACCAGAAAAATACTGAAGCAGCAACAGCGACACTGAAATTACTCCCAAGCCTTGTTAAGAAAGAAAAGTTTTGACACGGGGTCATTGCAAAGGATAGAGAAAAGATTTTAAGGGTTTAGATGAGGTTTTAGAATAAACACAGAAGTCTCATCATTTATGACCACAAACACGTCAAAGAAAATATTTCAGCAAGAAAAACTTTTATTGTCTGCACAGTGGTGACATTCACCTCACGAAAGCACATGGCCACAATTTCAGGATTGCTCAAGAACACCAGTATCTTTACTACGATCAAATCGGGCAGCTAGCATGCCCATTTTTAGATAAAAATATATAATACAGGAAGTATGTGGCCAAGAACAGCACAGGGTTCCCACCTCTTGAGTCCTAAGAGAGCTCCATCAACTGGCTCTCTAACCCACCCAACAAAGGACAAATACAAGAAAGTTCAAACCCATCTGTGAGCTAGGGACAAATTCACACACAAGGAAGTGAAGTGACTTTGAGGACAGGGTTCATCATTTACCTGTTTTAGCCCCAGGTTATACAAATGTCACCAATGCACACAGGTTGGTTTCCTTTTTTGCTTCAGCCTCTATTGTTCCCACTGGCTTTAAGGCTTAGCTAACTTATATTCCAAATAAATTATTAAAGCATGTGCCAGAAAGCATCACACTTTGTGCACTGGGTTAACAAGGAAGGAGCACTGCACGCAAGGGCAGATGCCTGTTTATAGCACCAGATTCAATTCATTAAATATTATGCACTTACTTGCATGGGAGTTTCATACCCTTTGTGTGATGGATTCAATCTGTTCCCTCAAACCGTTCCCTCTGCTTTCAAATGCAGCAGCCACTGCTCCATTACACATCCATGAAACATGCAGCTACAAAGGGAGCTGAGTCACACAAAGGGGACATCACAGGCCAAATGCTGACTTTAATGAGAGCTGCACAGAGGTTTGGCACACAGCTCAGACATACAAGACACACAGTAAAGGTCAGAGAAGTTTAAAAAGGCTTTGAGGAAAATAGGAAGATGCATAACCATGTTGGAAGGAGTTACTTTTATAGAACATTTACTGTGCTATTCAATAATTTAAATGTATGGAAGGGAACACTAGTTGACATAGCAACTGTCACATCACATTACTTGAGCAACCTTATCTATATGGATGCCTTCCTTGAAGGAAAAACATTTCTCCAGATTTCACACAAACATATGTACTTCGCTTTTTGTTATCATTTTTCAAGTCAACATCTGGTCTGCAGTTAAATCCATCCATGCTTCCCCATACTCTCAATTTCATTTTATAATCAACTTGGAGGAGCACTATTTCAAATGCGAACATGATTTGTGAGACCACGTGTTCCTTCTCTTTTCCCAGTCCTGCTGTTCTTTCCAAGACATTGGGTTACGTTCACCTGATCATGAGAGATTGAGTTGTTGCCAGCACACATCACCTGAACCCTGTGAATCACCATGTACATGATTACAATGACCTTGCAACTGTAAGACTTGATGTGTTTGATCTTGCACTTGCAAGACCAGGTGAAGTGGATCAAGTCCAAAGCATTTCAGGTCCCAATTAATGGAGTTTATACATGCTCAGGTGGGTGGTTTGCCCTGTAAGCCCCAGCTTGCTAAACCTCAGTACTTTCATCACTTGCAGTCAGACAAACATACTCAGTGTTGCAAGATGCACACGATTCCACAGCACAGGGGTATTTGGAACCCAGTACTGAGCTGAATTAAGCACTGAGAATAATGCAATTGTGATTATGAAATGTCTCCTTTAGCTAGGCAAACATGGATCCCTTCCCAACTCTGGCCTGGATTGTATTTTAACTTCCAAATGTTCCCACACTGGTGTGCAACTATTTGAATGAAATGTGCACATCAGGACTCTACAGAGAGAGTAAAGAAATAAAAATAAAGCAACATCCAGCTTGGTCCTCCTTTTTCCCCTGCCTTATCTGAACTGCTGAAACACATCCCTCAGTCTCAAACTAAATAAAGGCAACAATATATAGGAGAGATGTAATTTGAGTTTAATAAATATAGAATTTACCACTTCTTTATCTATGATAAAGTTATCTTTACCTTAATTCTGACAGTATTTCAAATTGATGGCACACTTACAGAGGTTGGTTTTGCCAGATTTCCATGTTGGAAGGAGGATGGTAAATCACTCCAACAAGCAGTTCCATGCAACCAGGCCTAGGTGAGCTCTGATACTGGAGCAAGCTCACAGATCCTACATCAAACCATGTTCTGCAGCTGGGTCCTGTCTTTAAAATGCAATAAGAGCATTTTCCTCTCTTTCCTAAGAGTTTTGTCTAAATAAATATGCTAAAGCTTGGGAGGCAGGCAGATGATGCTGCAGGAATGGCAGCCACTCAAGTACCTCAGATTATCTTTCCTGCAACCAGCTACGTTGTCTTCTATAATTCAAGTTTTACTCAGTGATTTGTGGCAAATGTCTTGTGATAAATGTTCCAAGACATCTAACAGTTATTGTGAATTATTATATACAGCACACAGAAAATGCCACAATAAGGTATGTTTATTTAGTGTTATAAAGATGTTAATCACCCATGTTATGCTCTGTAGGCTCTTACAATACAATTTACATTCTCATAAAAATTTCTATACAGATATACTAACAGAACACAGCACTCAGCCCATCAAAAATAAATTAAAAATGCTTCCAACCAAGACCAAGTCCTATGGAAAAGCTGCCATACCCATTTTCTCTTTGAAATATGCAGATCATTTCAGACCACAAGCTACACATCAACTTCTGGACAACCCATGTGATCAAGATCATCAGATATAAAGCTCAGTGGTGGAATACACCCCTCTTTAACCCGTGTTCAAGAATTAAATGCCATCAAACTGAAACACCGTACGTGGGGACAACTAGGAAATCTGCTTCTAGAAGCACCCCTGGTATGAAAGAAAACTAAAATGCAGAGGCAGTGGACAGGTAGAGAAAGAGAAGAGATCAACATACACACACACCTCAGCAGGCTTTAGAGAACTCATGGAAATAGATTAAAAATCATCTAACAAAAACAAAAATCACATCGAATTTGATGTGTGTAGGAAGGCTGGCCACATGTTTACAGCACATAAAATCCAGAAACAAAGAACTTCCAGTAAAATCCTTTAAATCACACTTTTAGAAGGAAATATTAAAAGCCAGGTAATGTAGGCCTTATTTAAATAATTAGACCTTACTGAACTCTCCGTTTCTGTGACGATGGGCTGGTAACTTAAGCTGAAGTTTTGCAAGGTGGTCACAGCAGTCAGTCAGGCTGTTGTTTATAATATAATAAGGTGTTTATTCTGCCAGGTTTAACCTTTTAATGAGGACAGCTATCATGTAATTTGGGCTCCAACATGGACTTGTTTGACTTGTTCCTGTGAGAAATCATTTTCCTTGTGTGCATGTATCTCATTAATACTTGTTCTTCCTAATACTATGAGATCATTTAACTGAAGAGCTGTGCTAAATGCACTTTCACCTGCATTTATTTAATAATTCTTTATTTTTGCCTTGTAGTTACAGATCCCAATTCCTCTTGTGCAGCCTGAACTAACTCACTGCTGTTTTCAACAACATTCCTTTGAATATGAGTCAGGAGGTGTGAACAACTGCACTCAGAGCAAGTCTGGCCTCCAGTGTAGACACTTCTCTCCTTTATCACACCAGTGCCTGTATGTCTCTTCAGGAAAATATTAATGGAATATATAAATTAATGGCAGGAAAGGAAGTCAACATCAACAGTTTTAGAGGGACCAGAAAGTCTTTTGACTACATTTGTAACTTGGGAAGGTCTCCTACCTTCCACTGTGTGAATCATAACCCATTAGCAAATGTTCAATTGGAATCGTATGTAGGAGCTGGGAAACTGCAGAGTTCACCTCCAACCACAGATGATTTTAATCTGCTTTTTGTTCTTCTGAAGAAATTTCCTGGTTATGGGGTTTGGACTGAACAGTGAACACTTACTTAGAGTAACAGAACCTGTTCTGGGAGTGCAAGATCATTACCTGACACACTTCAGAACTGAACACAGAGCGCCAAACTTTGTGCCTTGCCTTTGTTCTATTATTAAGAATACAGGCTAGTAAGGCCTTTCAGGCATAATTTATGGCTTATCCTTTAAAAAGTAAGTATACTTTTAAAGACAGATGTCATTAGTTTGCTGCCACATTTGGAAGCTGAAAGTTTAAGAAGCTTCATGTGTTCTGTATTTCCTAAGTGACACAATGGGTCAATGCAAAGGTTCATGTCTCCATTGTAGATGTTCCAAAAATTCCACAGCCCACTGCTTCACAACAGCTCCAACACTCCTCATCTAATCTATGCACCAGTAGATACTCCTCACACACCAATACTGCAAATAAAAGGCAATTAAACCTAGGACTGAAGACAATATCATGAATTAAAAAAAAATATACAAACAAGAATGAGTAAGAAGCAATACAATTTCATAGCTGTATTTTATTGTTTAAGGATTTCAGAATTCTATCCAAACTGTAATGTACATTATCCTGAATTAGAAAAATATTACCCCAATCGAATAAAGCCAGAAAGAGTAACAGATTTTTCCAAGGTGATTTTTCAGCTACCAGCAGAGAATTTATGCACAGAATTTAAAAGCTCTGATTGTCAATTTTTCCTTGTAATCAGCAGCTCATCATCACAAATCCTTGACAGGTAAACTGAATCCACTTCACATTCAAAACAAAACCCAGAATATTTAAATATATAAACAAACAGATCATCTTAAAAGTAAAGAAAGTACAACTACTCAAATTTCAAAATATTTTGACCAATTCTAACCTGTCTCTTTATCCTTTGGATCAGTTAACAGCAACAGTTTGCAAGTAGGATTATTTCGGTAGAGGGGGACAAAACACACACAGGAATCTTCAAGTTTAACCTAAAAAACAAACAAGCCCTGTAGCTGTTTGTACTGCAAAGCTCACCAGAAGTATTTCATGTATCAGATGCACTTATGATATGTTTTATTGACATGCAGGGTATAAACTCAGCTCAACACCCTGTCAATCCTCAACTTCAAGGCACTGAAACATATATAATACTCTAATATTATCCATAAGTAATGTTAATTTAAAAGAAATCAAGCTACTGAAGTTTAGCAAAGCCCTTAATGCTGACTTGCTGTGGTTAGTCCATAACCTGGCTTTGAACACGCAGACAAACAGTGTTATGAAAGTCCAGACACATCAAATGAAAACAAATACAACTTGCACTTCTTACAGCATCCTCCAGCTGAGCACTTGTGGTGTTTTGCAAACAATGAATTAAGCCTCGGGGTACAGGGAGTATCAAAGCATTAGGGCAGTGCCTGGGCAGTTTATCTGCAAGGCACAGGGAGGGTGGATAATTGGCACAAGGTAGTTAAGTTGAAGGCAAAGCTAAAATCAAAATGCAGCTCTCAAGCTTTTGGTCTTAGACTACATGATGTGACACATAAACACAAAATTACTGTGCTCAAACAGCTCTATATGCATAGAAATGACGATTTCCATATGAATATTGCAAATGCTGTCATGTAAGTTTAGGTACAGGCAAAGAGTGTGCATGACTTAGCACAGTATGTACTGTACTTTCCAAAATCTGGTCCATTGTGTATGTGTGGGTGTGCCTCTCTCTCTAATTGCACCCATTTGTCAGTTTGCTATGAAACTCAAATCATTCATGTGATACATTTAATATTTCTTGGTGCACGGAAAGAGTATGAATATGGATTATTCAGGATAACAACTTTAAATTGAAACCACTGTTTGCTGGTTTATGGGTGCCAGATTCTTGGAATCATCTCTGCAAACACTGGACTCCAGGAAAAAAAAAACCTGTAAACTCCTTGAAAACTGTATTCATGAGCTTGCCTAAATCTCAGTATGTTCTGGGGATTCAGTCACTCGCTTCAAACATAACAGGATCAATGTCACTATGGCACCTGGGAGCATTACCATAATTAAAAGGCCAGGACTACTTCCAATGCTGTTATTTTGTTTGATAAGGTAATGTGCACTTTCACAGGTGTTAACAACACCAGCAGGAGCCAAGCACAGCTCTGTGTGTGGCTGCTGCCAACATGCTCCCATCCTGACTTGCAACAATCCTGGCTATTTGTGTCCTGAATGCCTGACCAAGCCATACCTAAAAGGAGTTCTGTGACCCGAGCAAGGGGGACTGACAGCCACTTAACTCCTGCTAAATAATTATTGACACTTGTCAGCCCTGCCACTTGAAACCTGCTTTAATTCAGATGCAGAGGGGGAAAAAAAAAGCTTGATAATGCAGTATTCAAACACCAAAATCCTCATCCTCCAGGTTGCAGGTATATAACAGAGATTGTCAGCTGGGATGTTCACTGGGAATGGAAGCTTCACCTTATTACATTTAATTCATTTTTAATTACAAAATATCAACATTCTTTGAGCTATTTATTATAGAGTGTAAGGAAAAAGACAATACAGCAAGAACATTAGCATCACTTGTGCCCTTGACTAGCTGTCTGACTGCAGATTAGATTAGACCTGAATTAAATGAATGCAAAGAGAAATGTGTTGCTATGAGACTCAAATCAGTCATGTGATATATTTAAGGGTTGGTGACAAGCCACAAAAGCAAAGACAGTTGTGAATCAAAAGCCATAAGTCCACCTTTAACTGCTCTCACTGTGTGTAGCCACTGCAGGAACACACACAGCACTGTCGGGATTTTAACTTCCCCTCCCGTCTAATGGAGCAGCAAATGAGCTTCCAAAAGTACAACCAGGCACGAAGAAAGGCCGAGGTAAGGACACAGAAGCCCTAAACTGGGGGATCTTTGCATTTTCAGGTCTGTTTGTATTTAACCCTACAAGGTCCACTAGAGGGCATTAAAAGAGTATTTAAACCCAGTTACATTCCCAGTTCAAGGCCAAAGCTGAACCCACCTGGAGCAGCATTTTTCTGGAAACTACTACATATCCTATTCCTAAACTGCAGAAAACCCACACTATTGCAAACATTTATTTCACCTAATCCAATTTCTGCTTTTACAGTACAATAACAGGTAGTCCAACACACCTTTTATGATCTAGAATGAAAGGTTTCATAGGTTGACTGATGTAAAAATTTTTAATAGGCCTGTTCAGTCACCTGCATTCCCCCAGGTGGCTTAGGAATGGACCCTAAAGCATTGACACCTATAGGATTTATGCTGATCAGAATTCCTTCGGGAGAAACCATAGCCAAAATTATCAATATAAGTATTGGAAAGAATGGAAACAAACAATGGGCTGTGTCACAATACCTGTGTAAACTGCACAGCAGAGGCAGAATACAGAGCTGCACCACAGCATAAATCTCGACCAACTTACTTTTGATCCAGTCCTGTAAGGAGGCAGGTCAAGATGCAAAGTTCACCTAAGTACTCCAAACCCTCTTCCAGACATGCAGTTGAAGCTTATCTCTCATTTACAGCATGCAAACTATGAAATAATGCAGGATTTGATGATTTTAAGAGATCTGCAATCCAGCCACACCAGTTTACTCCTGTTCACAGACAATGAGCACAACCAACAAACTAATTTCCAAGTATCAAACTTGCAGTATGAAAAACATCAGCCTACTACCTCTTGTCCTCCAGGGATGCAAAAAACATCAGCAGTGGGCAATGATTTCTTCAAGAGTTTTTCATAGTATGTTTGAGCATCTCCTTGTAGAACCTCTGGATCTTCTGCTATTGTATCAACCAAGCAAAGGCAACCTGTAGTTAAAATAAAACACAAGATGTTTTGACTTTTTAAATGAACTAAGAAACATGAGTTTCAAAACCCCAGTTTCCCCAGGAGCTGCTTGCTGTAGCTGGGGCCTTAATGATCTCATTAGAGCCTTTTGGATAATCCTAGTCTAAAACATTAATGCTGGTAAAAAATTAACAGTATGTTATTTAACTCTTGACATGCAATTTTACAAAGGAGATCCACGACAGCATCAAATCACTTTTGTCTCCTTTGAATTCAACAAGCAGAGTCTCAAATTTCTCTAGGTGTAAGTAAATTGCTTTAAAGCTGGAAGAGGGGAAAAAAACCCTTCAAACACAGCCTAAGTCCAAAAATATAACAGGGAAAGAATTCCAAGGATTCCACTCTTTCTTGGAAGTCTGCCCCTTTATGGGTCAGTTGTAGATCATTAGGTTTTTATTTCTCTTTTTTGAGGAACTTCAATTGGGCACTGTCACATCGGCGAAAGAATGTAAAAAATATTAAAACACACACACAAGACTTCCCAGAATAGTAACATCCTCTTTTATGCAACATAACTTTTAATCCACGTGATCCAACGCCAAAGGGTATTTGTTAATTGCATGCAAACAAAAACCTCACACATCTGATGCCTGTTACTTAAATGCAAAGTCCCACTTGGTGTTCCTGAAGAACCAATAACCTCCTCCTGATCTAACAAACCTGTCTGGTGGCTCATCACCAGCCCAAGAGAAAGAACATAAGAAATGTGTTGCTGTCCAAATGGTGTCCTGCCAGTCTTCCATCACAGGAAGGAAATAATTTCAATTTAAGGGGCTTTCAATCAACCAGCTACACCTGCAGCTCTTGTAAGCCCAAAACTGAGGACAAAATCTTCTCCCACACTGCTGTAGTTGGAATCTTAGTTCTGAATGCTCCATTTTTAATCATGGTTTGGCCTCACACAGCAGCTCCTGTGGCTCAAGTGAAATGTGAAAGAACTGCACAGTAAGTGCAAAATAAATGGCTGAGACAACAAAGAGTGTTGTAAGAACCACTGCAAGAATATCTATATCAAGATTCAGAAATTACGAATCATAAAAGTACCATATTGAAAATGATGAAAATGATACCTTTCCACATAAAAGTAGGAGCAAGGGATTTGTAGTGCCAGTTCAGACTATTCATCCATGGTCCCACCATTCTCCCTCCAGCAGTGATCTGCATCTGATTTCTCAGCAAAGGGTAAGAAACTGCAGCTGATAATTCACCACTACACAGCACTGCTTAAAACGCTTTAAACACTATTTTCCTGCCCTTTGCAGGCAATCAGCTTCTATCCTGAGGCTTGACAGCAAAGCTATGTATTCAGAATGCTGAACAGAAGCTACTCTGTAAATGTGTTTCATGGTATGTTTGTATGTGACAAAATGGGAGAGAAAAGAGCATTGCAACACTGGCAAGTTGGGTCACATTATAAAATCCCAGGCAGTCCTTAGGAAGGTTTCTTCTGCAGAAAGTGTGTACTATGCAACACCACCAAGCAAGGAAGTCATGTGAGGAGAGAAAATAAAGATTATTATGAAAAACTTTGGTAATTCACAAAAGTAAATCTACTAGTAAATTAATTCTTTGCAAAAGAGCAGCACGCAAGACTTAAGTTTAGCACAAAGAAAAATATTTGCCATGCTAATAAATACTGTTCATGAGGTGCAGCTCACAAGGCTCCCTCCTGCCACGGCTCAGCCAATGCAGCTTCACAGCACAGTCATTTTCTGCTCCCTGAACAAAGCAACTGATGCCTTCAGGGTCACATGAACCTCCCGGTACAGAACATGCTTGTACTCTAAGGCAACAGTGACCATCTGAAGGACAAAATTAGGTTACAAGTTAAATAATGAGGCCTTAAAGAAAACTTCTGATGAACTTACCATCAATACAGCTTTGCACAGAAGTAATCTTTTTCTCTAAAATACGTTTACAGATTTCCAGTTGTCTTTCCTGTGCAACACACTGAAAAGGCCCAAGTGAGTCAGGAGCACATACTCCAATAAAGGGGAAATCAAAAAATTTTTCATGAAGAAAATTAATGTCTCGGCCTCTGTGTGTAAGGGGAGGAGGGAAAGTGAGGTTCCTTTAGGAACAATATGGAGCAGAAGTCTCACTTTAGGTCCCCTGGAGTGTTCTCAAGAAGTCAGTGGAGCTAAGGCTGGCTTTGGTGAACATCCCCCCAAACCTGCACACACATGCACATACCATTCATACTGTTCAGCTGCCACAGGCAGGAGAAAAATCACTTGTCTGAATTTTTTTAAAATTAACTAATGTGTTTCCCAGTTCAAAGTGACAAAATAATATTTGCACTGGTGTGCATGTCCCTTTTACACGTTGTTTTTGTATACAGAAACACAAAAACCCCCTCAAAGTCTATACATAATTATTGTTATTAAGCATTTGACTAAATCAATAATAATTGCTGTCTAACAGGATGTTATAAAGGTTCCTAAAGAAAATGTAAAATAATTTAACTTCACTTTAAAATAAAAGCAGTGCTGTTCTCCCATGAGTGCTTCAGTCTGAGGACCCCACCAGCATCTTGGGATAGCAAAATCACCAAGTTCCAAGGAAAGCTTTTTAACTTAATTGGAATGACAGGATTTTATTTGAATTTGCTCTTCCCCAGCAGCAACAAAAGAGCACATGGTGGCAGGCAGTGTGCCAGGACCCTGCCAGCACTCCTTGGACGGGCACTGCTCACAAAGGGTTACCCTGAGCAGGGGAAGGAGCGAGGGCCCAGTCATAAAAGGGGCCTCTCTCTGCAGCCACAGAGGAGGGACCATAAACCATAAGGAGGGTAAATTTAGAACGGGAGGCCTCCTGCGTGAGAGAGATTCCTGACAGTGCCACTGCAGAGGCTGAGACCTTAAACAGCCAAAGCTGGTAAACAAGGTCAAGGCACCATCGGGCGAAGGGTTCACAGAGAGACACTGGGCTTTGTCTCTCCCAGGGCATCCAGGGCAGAGGAGGTGGAAGGGTGTGCAATTCCACCGGGAAAACCTACCTAGAGGTGAATAAATGAGAAACCCGAAGGAGCATGCTTCCATTTCAAGCATGCAGAATAGATTTTAAAGCAAAAACAAGCAGTGCATCTGCTTCTCCTCTCTTTTGTTTCCATGGAGCAGCCTGGTTCTCAAGTGAGGATGTGCAAGTACATCTCCTCTCACTACAGTGATCTGTCATCAATTTGACTGGGAATCTAATTTTTAAAGTGAAAAGCTTTTAATAGCTTAAACCAGCTATAAAAACAAGCAGCACTGCCCATAGCACTCAGTCATCTTTAGGAGATTCTACCCTCCAGCACCTCTAAGTAACTCGGCCTAAAACATCATGCTACTCTGACCATAAGGCATAAACCAAGGCCCCTGTTTCAGTCCTGATCTCTAAACTCAGCTTTTTCTATACCCATTGCTATTCCATCTCTGATCTCCTCCAGAAGAGAGAGCTGAATTTCATGGGGATTTCATTAAGTGGACAAATATTCTCCTTGAGAGGTTAAAGTAAAAATTTTACATCACTTAGGACCCAAAAAGATCAATATGTGGGAATCCATATATATCTAATTAACATGCATATGGTCTGCATCAGGTAGATAAATAACAAATGCAATCACAAAATGGGAGACAATACTTTAAACTAGAAATAATTCTTGTAGATTAAAGACAGACTTCCATCATTACAGATTCAGCAAGAATTTCTTTCTACCAGATAAAGTAAGCAGGAAATATTTTTCCATGGGCAAAAGAATTTATGCTCAACACAACAGAAAACACATGGTGCACACAGTTGTATGTGAAATTCAACAAGTGAAACTGCAGACTGCTGAAATACCTGAAGGTGAAGGACACGCTTCCATCTAATCAGATATTCTGAAGATTCTTCTTGATGGTCCTTTTATATCCCCTGCAACTAAACCCTGTGCCATAACAGAAGGAATTGAACTAGAGTACAGATAACCACAGACTTACCTCATTAATATAATGCTACAGCAATTCAAATAACCATTACTTCCCTCAAGCTCTCTTTCACTAGACCAGTCATTTTAATATCAGTGTATTATTTTTACTGTTTTGCCATTATATAACAAACCAGTCACAACTTGGGACAATCAACTCTGTCTCATCTTAAAGATGCTTTAAATAGTCATTCAAGTTTCAAATTAGTAGGTACTGCCAATACACTTGTTATTTTTGACCATGAAGCCAATGCAAAATTTATTAAACAAGAGATATTTCATGGAATCATGGAATGGTTTGGATTGGAAGGGATTGTAAAGATCATCTTGTTCCAATCCCCTGCCATGGGCAGGGACACCTTCCACTAGACCAGGTTACTCAAAGCCCCATCCAACCTTCCCCTGGACACTTCCAGGGATGAGGGATATTTGCTTCCACTCTTAAGAATATTCCATTCCTGCATTCATGTGTAGCTAATTAAGACTGTTTCCTTAAGCCAACAAAGTTGGGGATGCAGTTTTTCCCAGCCCAGACACACCACTGGGTTGATTAGATGCACTGAGGTTATTGCTGGTACTCCCAGGAAAGGAGGACTTGTTGAAATGCCCATTACAGAGATTTGTAAGGGCACTCAGGATGCAGCCAGATTGTAAAGCAAAATACATCAACCTCACCGTAGATGAAGCATGAAAAGTGTTATGTCTGAAGTGAATTAATCATTTATCCTACAACTACTTTTTCGTGTTCTACAAACACAGAGGAGGATATTACATGCATCCATTAGGAACTGTATGTTTACAGAAGAGCCATCAGCCACCACAGGATTTGTATCTGGACTTTGTACATTTGTGCAAATCTGTGCATAATTTTACATGCAAAAAAATGAAAAACGCCTCAGTCAGATTTCTAGTGGTGCAGGAACAAGACAGATTAAAAAAACTTAACATTTCTAACTTTCAAGTTTCATTATTTTTTAAGTCACTTTTGCCATGTCTAATGTTCACAATAGC